AATAGGCGGCACCGGCACCGGCAGCCAGTGCCAGGGCAAAGCACAGCGCCGACAACGCCCCTGTGGCCACGGAGCCTGACGCCTGCGCCAAGCTGTTCACCTGCATCGAAAAACTCTGGTTATGGCACTGCCCCACACAGCCACCCTGCTGCAGCTCCCCACTGTGACCGTGGGCAGCCCACCCAAAATGAGCCGTGCCAGGAGAGCAGAGAGGACAAGGCCGGCCCTTGGGATGAGTCGGTCACCTCGCTCCCATTCCCAGGCCTGGCACCAGCTGTTTCAGCACCTTCCTTCCCCGTTTGTGCCCTCAGACGCTCACCTGACCAAGATCAACGACGGGTGGTGGGATCCTTAGTGGCTCTGCAATCGCGTGAATGATGCCATTGAAAGCTACAATGTCGTACTCCACAATCATCGTGTCATTGATCCTCTTGGCATCCTACAGCACAGGACAGAGATGATGTCACCCAACCAGAAAGCCTCCCCATTGTTCCCTGTCTCGAAAGAGATGTGGTGAAAACTTGTGGGTTTTTTTTGACCTCTACTGAGGTTAAACCTACTGAGTGCTCTGTACTGTTGCCCACTGGGAGGTCTGATACATGGAGGTCATATCCTGACTGGGATGGGATGATGGTGCCTGTTGTGAGGTTGAAGCTGAAGAGGACGACGTTGCTGGATGACACATGGAGCTTCAGTTCTTCTCCTGTCAGTCTCTGAAAAAGCAACAGGGAGCAGGGATGAGAAAGGGCTGAGCTGGCTTTCACCCCTTCCCTCCTGCTGTGTGCAGCTCCCACCTAGCCTAAGCCCAGACACTCTCCATGGCCACAGGACAGCTCAATTTATGGGCAACATGACACAAAACTACTGTGCAGAGAGGGCTGGGATTGCCATCCTTAGAAACAGTCAAAGATCAGCTGGAGAGGGCTCTGAGCAACCTGACCTAAATGGCTCTTCTGAGTGAGGGCTTGGACTAGAGATGTCCAGCAGTCCACTCTGACCTAAATTCCTCCTTCCCCAGACTCTACTTCCCATCCCATCCCCATCATGCCACAGCTTTGGTGGACTCCTGCCCACCTCTGGGGCTCTGATCGTTCGTTCCATGCGCCCTTAAGCGGCCCCTCATCCCTGCTTGCTTACTTCATTGTCTGCGAAGCCGGAATTCAGAGGGACAAAGAGAGTTTTGGGAGCGGAGACATCAGACAAATAGATGAAAAAATCCAGTCCTTCTTCTGTGTCATTAGCAAAATCGAGCAACATCTGGAAAAGATGGGAAATCTTCTCCATCAGCACACTGCCAGCAGCTCAATGCTGTCACCTTCCCCAGCCCAGGAAACATCCCCCAGCCCTGGAAAGAACATGCCTCTGTGTTTGTACTCTCTACCCTGCATGCAGATCAAACCACCACTTCTCCCTCCCTCTGCCTTGTTGCCGGCTGCTGGCATACCGATGAACCAGGAGAGCATCGCTTACGGAATAGAAGGTGGAGAAGCGAGCATTTTCTGCGAGCACATCCGGGAGTTTGCCGCTGCACCAGTACCCATCTCCCACAAACCCATCACGGCAGGTGCAAGTCACGTCTGCAAAGGAACACCAAGGTGCAACTTGACTTGCCAATGCTGGCTACACTGACCACCTCTCCCTTGACTTCTGGATACTCCTCAGCATGTTCCCTCCTGATACGGGCATGGGGAGAGGGGGAAGTGCTTGCCCACCTGTGCCTCACGCTCCAAGGGCAATTCTCTGCCTGCGGCCCCAACACGCCTCGTGTGCCTGACAGGACTGTCCCCAGGAAATGTGCTTGTGCCACTCACCCTTCTCCCGGTAGCAGAATGCGTCCCAGGTCTCAGTCAGGTTGCTTCGGGAGCCATAGTCCACAATGCCCACTCGGTTAGCCCCACAGCTGGGGTTGGGGTAGGCCGTCGGGTATCCGGCTGTGCCATTGTCCAGCCAACCCACCAAGCACAGATGGAATCCCATCTAGCAGAGGAAAAGGAATGATTAGATTAAAAATAATATCTCTGGCCCACGTTTTCCGCCCTGATGCATGCTCCCTTTGTGCAGCCTTATCTGACATCGCCCCCAACAACAGGGTTGGGCATTGCCAGAGGTCTCATCCCAGTGTGACTGGCAAGACCCACCAGCCCTCCTGGTTTCACGGATATAGATGGGGCAAACAGGGTCTGGCCGAGGGGATGAGTGGTCACCCACCCACGTCATGGGCTCACTACCGCTGAACCGGGCCCAGGGAGAAGCAGTGCGTGTCCCCCATGCCATGAGGCAATGGAGCCAGCCCCCGCCCGACATCTACATCCCTGCCCTGACCTGCTGTGCTGCCGAGAGCTGCTGGAAAGTGGCCAGGGAAGCACCTTCTGCGGCACAGGCCTTCTGAGCCTGCTCGTAAGTGAAGTCGTATTTTTTTCGGGGTGACTGCAGATGAAATACACCCATAGTCTTATCTGTAAAATACCAAGGCCAGGGAGCATCAGTACAGCATAGAGAGTGAGCAGCCTCCCTGGGGCAGTCGTGTGGGTCCCCTGTGTGAGCACAGACAGCACCGCCAACGGAGAGTGCTCTGTGCTGCATGGGAGGGTGGGATGTGGAAAATGCTCAAGTGAGGGCAAGGTGGGATGGAGCATGGCTTCCTCTGAGCTTCTTGTCTTCATAAGGGGGTCAGTGCTTACTGGCAGTGTAATCCCACCAGAGGCCATCTCACGTGTCACCCAGGAGCAGACAAGAATGGCTCGTCTTCCCCATATGACATGCAGGGGAAAAGGGGAATGTGAAAACCAGATTGCTCTACAGGGCCGAGTCCCCAGCCCCTTGGCTGTCCCACCCTCCAGCTCTCCTGAGGGCTGCCCCAGTCAGAAGGTGAAGGATGACAGAGTGTGACCTCTCCATGGAACATCATCCCTAGCACTGTGGGGTTGAGCGCACTCACCGTGAAAATGCAGGTCGGTGCAAATGGCCTCCCGATGGCACTGTCCGTTGTCTTCCAGGCACCGGTCCGTGGGGGGCACGACCTCTTCCAGGCACTGGATCCCATCACCAATGTAGCCCCGCTTGCACTCGCAGCGCCGCTCGTTCTGCAGCACAAAGGAAGGATGGCATTTCTGTGAGTGCAAACATGCAGATGCCAGCTGGGGATCCTTGTATCCCTGTGAAGATGGGGATGAGCCTTCAGAATGCCTCAACAGCCTGCCAGGGCTGTGACAGAGCTACAAAAGGCCACATGACCTCTGTCCTACCCCCTAACATCCAACTGCACATGAACCAAAAAAATGTCACGTTGACTCCTTGTCACATGCTGTTTGAAAGACAGCTGAGCTTCAAGGTACGTGGCTCGTGATTCTTGCACTACATCATGCTCCCAGGCATATCTTCTGGCCTGCAGTGAGCAGCTCTGGTTCCTCTGCAAAAATAGCTGGCATCGTCCTCGAAGGACCATCCCAGAGCCCCCAAAACAGTCCAGAAATGCATGGCCCCTGCCTGGCAGTAAGGACCTGCAGGATGAGCACAAAAGCTGAGGGGACTGGAGAGGAGAGGCAGGCCTGGGGACTGCAGTAAGAGGGGACACTGTCACATCGTCACATCGCTGTCCTCCAGCAGCCTGAAGCATCCCACGGCACCCACCTTCACTGTTCTCCCAGGCATGCCCATCTCCCTGGATCTAGGGGACAAACTCACCGGCCCAGTGCTGATGCAGTTGGCATGCTGGCTGCAGTCCCCGTTCCTACCATCCGCACACCTGTCTATGGGGTCGCAGACGTAGCCGTCACCTTCGTACCCGGGAGCACATGTACAGGAGACGTTCACACCAAACTGTGTGCACTGTGCGTGCCTGGCGCACCCCCCGTTGTCCTGGCTGCACATGTCGATCACTGCAGGGATAAAAGTGTTAGGGTAACTAAAACACCTTGCTATGTGTCCTGATGGTCTGACTGTCCTGCCAGTCGTTACACCAATATGGCCATCAGGAGATGGTCACCTGTGGTCTTGCTGGGTGTCTGCTTTCCCCTTCACTCACCACCCCTCTACCCCAGCCCCTCGTGGCTTCCCCCTACCTGAGCACGTTCTCCCATCTCCTTCGTAGTGTAGGTTGCATTCACAGAGGTTGTTGGAGCGGCAGACGGCCTGGGGGTGGCATGGTGGAGAGCAGGTGGGTGCCATGACTGAAACCAGAATACACACAGGTCAGAATGATCTAAGGGCTGCAACATGGGCACAGCTGCCATCACCAGCCTCAGCCCCAGGCCACCTGCCCCACACTCCCCCCTCTCCCCCCCTGTGCTTTTCTGCAAGTGCCATGCCCAAATGCAGAGGACTATCTGACTCCATCAGATACACCTCAGGCCTTCACCTCACCCTCAAGCTCTTCTTGGAGCACCTCTGAGCTCAAGGACTTGGTCATGATCAGGTGAAGCTTTCTTCCTCCTCACCACCCCAACCCTTGTGAAATTCAACAGCATGGGCTAGATCTCAGGATGAGCCTCGCAACTGAGAGCTCTTTTTTTGGAGATATTTCTGACCAGATGCGTGAACAATCCAGCTACTGGGAAACTAGCCACATGGCACAGGGTCCCAGGGAATAGCGGGTGGTGGGGCTTGGCATCTCTGACCTAGTCTGATTTCACAGCGGTCTCCAGTCCAGCCCTCGGCACAGAAGCAGAAGCCATCGCCATGCAGTCCTCCGTTGCACACGCCGTTCTCGGTACAGTTACATTCTGTGAGGAACGGGTAAAAACAGTGTCACAGCATCTGCCTTCGTGGCAGTGAAAGCCCACACTCAGGCCATGGGACAGCCACGTGGCAGAAACAAGGCTTGTGTGGGCAGTGCACGAAAGCAGGCAAGGCAGTATGCACACATCCCTTCCTGTTACTGCCAGGTCTGCCCCCACTGCCCTGCAACACGCACCCTTGTGGAGGAGGGGAAGCCTCTCTGCACCCACAAACCTCCATCATTACCCTCCCCTGGGCATTTCTAGAGATGTGGGGTTTTTTGTTGTGGTGTTGTGTCGTGTGTGTGTTGTCCCCGCCCAAGTCCTTGCAAACATACAGCCATCAAAAACGTTCCTGGAGACCCCATAAGGCCCAGCTTGGGATGGGAGGATGAAGGACTCCGTTTTCCTTCCCTTTGCCTTTGCCTCACAGGGCCACAGGTCCCTGCTGAGCATGTCCCAGGAGATGCTCTTTCTGTACAGGGTTCACCACAACTTAGCGATTTGTCCCCCAGCTCAAAATACATCTTAATGCTTCCTGCCAGACTGGGGCTGGCATGTGTGCTTAACAAACAAGAAGAGGTCTTTGACCCCCTCGGCCTCGGCACAGAGTCGAGGCCATCAGCAGCATGGCACATGCCACCCAGCCTCCTCAAACTACAGCTGGATTCATGTCTGGCCAGCCGAGAGCCCAGGGAGGGATGTCCCCAGCCCCAGAGGTCTGACGCATGCATTGTGCAGACTGATGCACAAGTGGCAGCACTGATTTCCATGCTGTAGGCTGCAAAGAGGTCAGCCCAGCACCTAGCCCCTCTCCAAGTAGCACCATGTGCTGCACCCATCTCCGCACAAACCCTCTCTGTTGCTGCCACTCCACAGCTTCCCCCTTACCTCGGCAGTCTGGCCCATATCTGCCCGGCGCGCACAGCTCACAGCTGGTCCCGATGAAAGCCTGGCTGCAGTTGCAGCTCCCTGAGCCACTGATCTTGTCGTCGCAGGTACCATGGTTGCTGCACGGTGCCTCCAGCCCTCCCGGGCACGCTGCAAATGGGGCACCTTAGTGAGGCTGTGGTGACAAAGTGACCCTGTGCTGGAGAGGAGCAACCCACTGCCCCATGCAGAGCCTGCGCACAGGTACCACGTGAGCTTCTGCTTAGGGGGTGCTCGGACCACATAGCCTGCTCGGCAGTCTTGGGAGCGAGTGCTGGGGACATCCCACGACAATAAACCTTAGGGACAAGTCTGGCGTAGCTTCAAGCCTGGGAAGACCCTCTGCTGCAATGTGCTGAGTCTGTGCTGGCCCTGGGGTGGCCCTGGCAGCAGACTCATCCAAGGACGTGAAAGCTGCCCGTGCCAGGGAATGGTTGAGCATCGGCAACATCTAGGGGGGTGAGTGACATGTCTGACAGCCACCCCCAGCAGCCCTGTGCCCAGGGCTCTCCACAGGGACAAGCGGTTCTCCAAGGAAAGGGAATTCTGTGTTGTGATACCATCCAAACGCACTCCCAGGGGATCATTCCCTGCACCCTCTACAGACTGGGGATCCCTGCCCAGGGTTTTCCCCAGCCTTCTCCAGGGAAGCACATTCATAGATGCCAGACGTCTGTGCTGAACCAGTAATGCCACCTTCCCACAAGAGAAAGGGCTGGGGCGGGAAAGGGTCGCGTGGCTCCTTACCCCGACAGTCACGACCATAGTGGTTCGCACAGCACTGAGGGACCCACTGGGTGGAAACACAGGTCCTCTTGCAGCCTCGTTTCAGAGACGGCCCAGAAATGAAGTGTCTTTTGAAGGCAGCCCATGGGGAGGATCGCCAGGATGGCTGCAACAGGGAGTTGCGGTGAACCAAGTAAGTGTGTCTCAACAGCTGGTCTCTGTAATAGTAGCAGGATCTGGTTTCCCCCTGCAAGGAAATAGGCAAAACACAGAGTTTGCTACATTGGTCACTGATATGTCCCCTTGACTTTTGTTGCGCCACACATTCAGTTTTATGACAAGTAACAGAGGCTTCCTAACATGCGATAGGGCTGGTGACAGCAGAGCCACAGATTTACCTCAGGGACATGCCAGAAGCCATGCTAGAGGCAGAGACAGACAATGGGTGATGCAGTGAGAGTGGAGTACAACCACTGCCTCCCAAGGCTGCTCACCATCTCATCCCTGGTCAGTCTCCAGGGGCCAGGCCGAGCCCTTTTGCTATAAAGCACCCAGAGAAGCACCCAGTGCTACTGCAGGGACCTCTGCAGCTGCTGTCACCCACAGAGGGATTGATCAAGCAAAGATCATTGGAGCCCCTGACCCCATGTTGCTCAGCCCAGCTCCTGCCCTATGGGACTGTGTGACTTGGGGCAAGGCATGGACAATGCGACCGAGGTGAGGGACTCGCCACATGCAGGTGTGTCTTCATTTTGCTGCTAAAACATGAGGGGTGTGTGGGTATTGTCATCAGCCCCCGTAACAGGCCTCCTTGGTGACAAAGCTGTGAGCTTTACCTGTTGAACGGAGCCAGCAGGGCAGGGTGGCTCAAAGCCACAGAGTCCGCAGCTCTCTGCAGATCCCTGTGGAGGGGAGAAAGAAACCTCACAACAACTCAATATGTGCTTCTGCCTCTCTTGGCTGCTTGGAGCTTTGCCGAGGAAGAGCAGCAAGCCCCCTCGACATCACTCTTCCCAGGCATGGGGCTCAACAAGTGGCACAGAGTCTCATGGGGCTCATAGCAAGTGCTCACCTGCAGTTGAACAAAGATGAACTCATCACACCGAGATCCCAGATCTGGTGGCTCCAACAGCCTGTCGATGCCGTAAGCAATGCCCCCATTGAATTCCATGTGCCTCTGGATGATGGTGGCATCGCCGTTCCCCACCAGAAGCTCCCCCTACCAGAGGAAGAAAGCAACTTGTGATCCTGGCACAACATCCTGGCTGCACCACCCAAAAGTTGCCCTTTTTGGCTACCATGACTTCTTAATCACCCCAAGAACTCTCCAAAATGTCTGTGCTCACATCCTTCCCACTTTTCATAGCCATCTCTCCTAAGAAATGGCCTCTGTCCATGCAACACATGCTCTGTAAAAGTCATGGCAGCATGTGGTTGGCTTCGTGATCTGGTCATGGTGAAGTGCATGTGCAGATACCACATGCCTCCGCACTTCCCGGCCAGCTGTCCACAGAGCCTCGAGCTTCTCTACAGGCTCAGCTGTAGCCAAGGGAATGGGGCATCTCAGCCTGCGAGCACCCCAACTCTGTTCACTTCCTGCCAGTGACCAACATGGAGCACCACTTGCCCTGTGGCTATGCCCAGGGACACTTGCTCAGCGGAAAGCAGAGGCCAGCATCACCATCACTCACCACATGGGTTTTGCTGCAGCTGAACGAGACGGTGGAGCCGTGCATGGTCCGTATGTATTCGACTTGGGGCATATTGCCAGCAACAATCTGAGAGGGAAAAAGGAGAATATGAAGGGAGAGACAGGCAAAACTGGCAGTTCATACTTCTAACGGGATGCTGCCTGGTGAGGACAGGGGTCAGCAGCCACACTGAGAGGGGGATGTGATGTGGCAGCACGTGAAAATGGTGTGGTGGAACAGCATAACTATGCTGGGTTAGTCCCAGATTCCTGAACCGTGAGAGGCCAGCATGTGTAAGCAGACCCTGGTTTTGCTCAGCTGGACTCTTCCCTTGTTCATCACCCCTATGGACAAGAACCTGTTTGTGAGCCTTGTGTTGACGCTCTGGGGGTGATGTGGCCTCCCCAAGAAGCTGATGACAGAAGGTTTCAGCTCAGCCACACTGCACCAGAGGTTCATGATGAAGTGGTAGTTGCTTCAAATGCTCAAACAGCTTTAGGTCTTCTCATGACAACTAATATGCTGCATGTTCTACAGCGGCAAAATATTGGGCAAGGTCACTCTGGCATAACCATAGGCAGGTGGTGGCACCACCTGCGGCCTCAGGAGGTAGGAGCCTCTTTGCTGTCACATTTACCTTTGTGTCCCTGATCATGTGTGCTTTGAGGTAGGAGGCCAGGACGTCCCGATGCTCTCTGCGGTACAGCCACTTCTGCCTTTTCTCTGAGAGGGCATTAAACGCAGCATCTGTGGGCCACAGCATGGTGAAGGGTCTATGCAGGGGGTCACTAACCAGTGGCAGCAGCTCTGCGTCCTGTCCGAGATAAGAGGGGATACAAAGAAAAAGCCACAAGCCAAAACTGAACGTGCACATGTACACACCACCTCCCCACAGAGCAGCAGGAGTCAGGTCGCTCACCTGCAGCAGTTTGCTATAAATGGTGTACCCAAAGGCCTCTGCCACTTCCGTGATATTTTGCTGCAGAGGGAAGAAAGTAAACAACTGTTACTAAGAGGTCCCCCTCCAGGACCTGGAGCAGCAATGCTGGAGAAAAAACAGATGGTTAGCAACTACAGTAGCTAAACACAAGTTTCTCTCTGTCATCATCATGCTGATGGACTTGGCCTGGCGAGCACTGGCATTCAGCAGCCAACACTTTTCTGATCCATCTTGGGTAGACACTGCTACGGCAGGAGCTGGGATGAATTTCAGCACTCTTGTGCTGTACAGAAAATGTGTTCTATTCTGTAAAACACAGCATCTATAAGCTCCTAGCGCTTGTTTGAGGAGTACCAGAGAGACATTGGCAATCTCACACTGCAACCTGCTCTGCACTGGAAAAGGAGTGTGATAGTTGGCATGGGACATGATCCCTCTGCCTACATCCAGTACTGTTGTTCCCTAGTGATGGATAAGGCTCTTTCTGTCCTAAATATGGCTATGCCACAAATACTGTCACCTTCACAAGCCAAATCCATGCCCCCAGACAACCCCTAGGAACAGGGAGGAAGAGCACCCCAGGTGGCCTTGGGCTGAGGGTTTACCAGGGACAGCACTAGCAGAGCTGTTGGGAGAAAGATCCTAGCCCTGTTCCCACCACAGCAGTTACCAGGGCACAGTCATCAGCCTTATCAGTTATCAGCCTTACCCGTGAGATCTTTGACGAAATGTTACGGTCTACCAGGTCACTTGGAATGAGGATCTTGTTGATGAAATGAATGACTCCATTCACACCAATGATGTCACTCTCGACCACTTTGGCTTCCTCATTGAGATAGATGCTATTCTGAGAGAGAAGGGATGGGATGAGGTATTCACACCCACTGGCCAGACTGGCCAGTCTGAAGGCCATAGGCAAGTCACTTGCCACAACCACAGTGGCCTTCCAATGGCAGCAAAAGTGACATCCTGACAAGTGGGACAGGGAAGGGAGTTGTGGCAGAGAACTACCTCTTTCACTGTGATCTTTATCTTGTGGCCAGATAAAGATGTAAGGGACTCCTGGGCTTCCAGGTCACTGGACAGCAATTTCTGGCAACCCACCATGTGGTAGCGAAGCAGGTCCTGGAGGAGACCTCTGTTCCACCACTCCTCAAACTACAGACAGAAAACAAGAATGGAGTCACACTGGGGGCACTTTGCCTTGCGGGGGCGGGGGGGCAGACCCAATGAGTGAGACCTGGATTGCCCAAGGCCCCTCTGACCCATCCCTGCAGGAAAGTTAGCCCCCAAAATGAAGTGAATGCACAAAACCATTTGAGAGCTTTGGGAAATTTCAACCAGCTTGACAAAACCAGCATCTAGGTTCCCTGATGGAGGACAAATGACCACATTGGCCTTGAGGAAGTGATGCCTGGGATATGCAGTTGCTGGGAATTGTTCCTTTATTGGGTGTATGGGGAGACCATGAGAAAAAGGTTGGGACCAGCGGTGTGAAGCTGCACAACAGGACTTGTCAGTGATGGTATTAGGATATTCCATTACATTGACACCAAAAAGCTGTTGGTTGAGAACCTGGTCCACAGAGTCATGAATAAGGGTCTCTCCTCCCTCAGGTGTCCACTTGCCCCAAACATCCCACTTGTTGGGACTAGAAGGAAGGGACTAATGGAAGAGAAATGACAGGGCCTGGGGCACAGAGAAGGAATAAGAGGTCTTCGTCACAGATGACTTGAGGCCTTGCTGTTACCAGCCCCTAATAGCCATAGGCAACGAAAGTCACTACAGATCACTAATTTGACACAGTGCCTCTGAGGACCATGAGTCAGGGTCTCTAAGTAAGAGTGTCCTTACAACAGGAGTCATGTCCACCCCTGCCCAGACTGTCTTTTCAGTGAGTTGGCCTCCAAACCTCTGCTCTTACACTGATGGAGAATGGGGGATGCCTTTAATCCTCTGCAGTGCAGTCCCTTTGCTTCAACTCATTGGGTAGAAGAGCCCCAGAGGGGACAGTGCCACAACTGGAGCTTGCCAAACACCTGGCAGCACTTGGGATGGGACGACACTTACTGTTGTGGTGTTTCCTATGAAATCTGTCCGTGGGACAAAGACAGTGAAAGGCCCTGCCCCGCTGAGCTCCTTGATGTTTTCCGTCTGTGGTAGAAGAGCATTTGTGGGAAGGGAAACAGAAAACACGGTTCCAGTTAGCAAGACCCTTTGCAGAAAACCCTAAGTGGGATTTACTACACAGAGACAAAGACAAAGCTGTTTGTCACCAACCAGTATCATCTTAAAGAACACGGATGCGTCTTTGATCCTTCCAAGCTCCTTAAACAAAAAGAAACAGCTTGTGTTAGCAGAGTTCCTTCCACTTGCTCCTCACCAGCCAGCACAGTGCCCTGCTCCTTCCACTCCAGGTCACTCTCCCACCCCGATGAGACACCGATTCTCCTGACACACCATAGCAATCTCTCCCTCCCTCCCTTGCAGTGCTGCAGGCATGGATGATGTGGAGGTTACAAAGCAGATAGTGACCTCTGCCTGGACCATACACATCACAGATGCTGCAGGATGGACTGGACAGAGAGATAAAAGCTGGCTGCTTCTGCAGCAGCTGCCTCATAGGTTTAACTGCATCTGTGCTCATGGGACACCTTGAGTGCTTCACAAAACCTCCACTTTAACGTCACTGTGCAGTCACTACTAGTTCTAGGATGCTGTCCAGAGTGGCAGACATAGGCTTGGCAGGGTAAACTCCCTCTTCTTACCACACTAACTTTCAGTAAGAGCAGAAGCACAGAACTAAGTCCACCTCTTTTCTCCTGGCTCTGCTGTAGGGATGACAGCTTTTATTTGCCACTACCAGAAAAGGTCACCAGTTTGCCCAAGAACAGCCATTGCGTTAGCAACAGAGCAGAGATAGACTGCTGCCCTCCAGACTGGATCACAAGTCCTGGCATGGCCACAGGGGACACCTGCCCTGATCCCACAGACCAGGAGAAGTGGGTTCCCTTGGGAAAAAAGAATAACTCCCATTTGCTTACAACATCATGCAAACAGCACCCTGGAGGTATGGCCAATATTGCTGACAGAGCAGCAAGAGCGTTCACATCATGACTCCCTTTGGAGCAAAGTCGCTTTACTGTGATTCTCTCCCACAGCTGGCACACAGAATATACCTATGATTTATGGATAGTTTGCCTCAAAGCACCTGTCTCCACTCCTACACCACACACATGTCGATATGACACTACAGATCTGCTCACCTGCAGCTTACACTTGGAGGGGAGGGAGTGGTTTGCTGCCTGGCAGGGGACCCAAACACAAAAGATCCTGTGCATGTTTCTCACCTGATGCACTTTGCCACGGCAGGTGAAGCCATCTCCAACACTGTGCCAAGAGCAGGAGCAGTTTCGAGTGCCAGGGCCTGTGTACTTGCAGAGCCCAAACGGACTACAGCCTCCGTTGTTCTAGCAAGAAAAACAAAAGGCTTGCATGGAGGGACATCAACAATTTGCACGGCCACTTGCATGCGGGAGCTGCTAACTGCATCCAGCCCAGTGGAAAGGAAACCATTCCTCCCATCTGTCTAGTGCCTTAGAATAAACCTCACCCAAATCCTCAACGGCTTTTCAGCACCAAATCCTCCCATGAAACAAGACTTTCACACCTTACTTTGGAACCCAGAGTGATAACAAAACCCATGATTCAGAGAGACATTTTGACATGGCAGCGATGCTGTGAGCACAGATTACTCTTAAGCTTTTGAGCATGTCCCACACCAAACAGATGCAGAGAAACAAGCCCACATGCCTCCAACCCTAAGCCACTGTTTCCACACTGCTTCTCCCACAAGAGGGACTGCCAGGTGGCCAACATACTTGCAGGTCATTGCGAGAGACAATGGAACCCAAACACATCAGGAAATCCCTTCAGTATGTGAAAAGGCAAGACAGCCGGCTCTAAACAAGCCGGCTAATCTTGTTCTTGCTGTTAACTGTTGGGAGAAAGGAACGCTTCAAGGCTGAGGCCTTCACCTCTGGTAACAGCAAAATGCAGACATACCTGTTGACACAAGTTGATGGGTTTGCACTGTCTCATGCCATCCCCACTGTAACCAGGAAGACAGTTGCAGGCAACCTGGAGGGAGAACAGATGCTCAGTCTGAAACTTGGACCCAATGAAGAAAACACACAACGGCTGAGCTGGATTGAAAGCATGTGGTATAGCACCCACCGCTACATTCATGAGTAGCCATGCTTGTGTTAACAACAAATATAACCCGAGACTGCCCCCAGCCTCTGACCAACAGAAGGCATTTGCTTTCAAGGAAACAGCAATCTTTTCATGCCCTTCCCAGGCAACTTTTCTGTATGGAAGGTAATAAGCACAAGGCAGCGCACTGCAATGGAAAGGATTGTCTCTAGGAGAATTACACAGCTGTGACAACCTCCATAATAATGTTGCCCTGACATCCATCTTACATACTCACCTTCCTCGGACCTGTTTTAATGCACTCTGCGTTGGTGTGGCAGCCCCCGTTGCTTTCGAGACAGAGATCAATTTCTGCAGCAAAACAATAAGGCCACATTATTGCTGAGGGCTGCTCAAGGCAGCTGGGAATTGGTGGCCCAAAGAGGTATTGGGAAAGCAACAGGGAGGACCTTCCAAGCTTGGGAAACATTTTGGTGTAAAAGTGACTTGTGATAGCCAAGTAATAGGGTACAACTGCAAGTTTTACTCCTGCCATACATGGGACCCTGGGTTGTTATAAACCTGTCCACAGAAAATCCCACACCTACCTGGGTGTGCTTTAAAGGATATGAGAGGACTGGCCTCTCCCACAGCTCCATCTTCATCTCAGAGCACAACTGTGGGAGACTGCCCTCACCTTCTGTCTCTGGACTTCTCCATGACATGCATCAGGGCAAGAAACCTCTCAGGGCTCTTTTGGTTTGAGACCAAAACACTGGTCTGAGGCCATCCAGAGAGATAGGTGCCAAGGGCAGCGTGGGCTCTCTGCCCAGTTTCGGGTGACATTGTGCTGGGACAGTGATAACGACTTCACTAATCATGACTTGGGAGAATGCTGAGCACATACGTACAGGTATGTGTCTACAAACGTACACGTATGTGTGCGTGCACCTCAACAAAAAGCAGCAAGACAGTTGAATCAAGATCAGTCAGCAATTACTTGCTTTGAAATAATCACTGCATGAACAAAGTGAAAGGAGAATTGTGTTATTCAACATTTTAACCTGAAGTTTCAACACTTTCAGTCTGAAGTTCCCATTTGCATGGACGATGCCTCACTGCTATCACCAAAATATGCACTGAGCACTCACCCATGCAGAGCGTCCCGTCCCCAGCGTAGCCTTCCTTACAAACACAGGTTCTCTCTCCGGGGGACACTTTAGTGCACACAGCGTGTATGGAACAGCCACCATGATCAATAGTGCATGGATCTATTTCTGTGACCACAAAAAAGAGAAGCAGAATCAGCTCAGAGAATCTAGGAAAGATGAACTGTGCCAGAATGATCATCCATCTTAACAAAAATCACAACATCTTATTAAAATCCTTCTGTTTCTCGATGAAACTGTAGGTCCTTTAAAGGGATAGGGCCTCATCTGGATCTCAGAGAGGCCAATCCAAAAATCATGCTGAGCTTAAGTAACCCCCAAATTGGACTTTCCGTCACAGCATTTGCTCACTGAGGACTAATGGTTAGATGAGAAAAAAATATTTTCCTGCACAACTTAAATGGTTTATTTTTTTGCTTTTTTCCCCCCTCACTCATTTTCAAACCAGGGCAATACTGAAAAGAAACCGTGATGTCTACTAGTGTTTTGACTGTTACAGTTTTATACTCTGAGTGGTTTTTTCTTGTCTGTTTGCTTTTGACATAGACCAGGTTTGTACGTAGCTCTAGATTAGTATCCCAAAACCCTATCTCATTTTGGCACAACTGCTGCACTGCTTCTGCCCAATTTTACTATGGTCAGCAAACAGGAGGAGCACAAAATTCTAGGGAATTGAAGCATCCATATTGCAGGGATTCATGGCCAAAACTGTTATATCTTTGCCAGCATTGCTGTGATATGAGAACTAATACAACCCATTCATGTGCATCTCTCTTCACAAGCGGTAAGAACTGCCCTGCTACACTTGCCTGCCTTTTTATCCCTCTCTCGCAGGCTCTAGCAACATCAACCATTTTTAAAAAGGGAAAAAAGGAAGACCCAGGGAACTACAGGTCAGTCAGTCTGACCTCTGTACCTGGCAAGATCATGGAGCAGATCCTCCTGGAAACTATGCGAAGGCACATGGAAAATAAGGAGGTGATTGGTGACAGGCAACATGGCTTCACTAAGGGCAAATCATGCCTAACAAATTTGGTGACCTACAATGGGGTTACAGCGTTGGTGGATAAGGGAAGAACAATTGACGGCATCTACCTGGACTTGTGCAAAGCATTTGACACTGTCCTGCACAACATCCTTTTCTCTAAATTGGAGAGACATGGATTTGACAGATGGACCACTTGGTGGATAAGGAATTGGCTGGATGGTTGCACTCAAAGAGTTGCAGTCAACAGCTCGATGGCCAAGTGGAGACCGGTGATGAGGTCTTGAATCTTGCCCACACTTGCTGGACATACCTGTGCAATGGGTCCCATTCCCTGTGTATCCAGCAGAGCAGATGCATGTAGGTGGGGAATCTGCGGAACTGTTGAGGCAGCTGAAACAAGAAAGGGTTAAAACAATCACTGACGACACCTCATGATTTTCTTGGCCAGTGGGAAACACTATACAAGTCTGGTGTATGCAAGTTAGAAACCACAATGACCACAGGAGGAACATGCCTGAAATTGCTGTGCATTTCTTCACAGCACCAAATACTCAAGTCATAGAATCACAGAATCATAGAATGGTTTGGTTGGAAGGGACTTTAAATCACACTGGTCAGTGAGCTGGCATCCAGGCACAGGCTTCACACCTTGCACAGTGCACCTTCATCACGTCCATATGCTTCTGCATGGTACAATGGAGATGGCTGGGTCCTGGTACCGCAAAATGAGAGACCAGATGATGGATGGAGAAGGCAGCAAGAGGGAGTCATCACAGCCCATCAGCCTATCTAATTCCTTGGCAGGGGCAGGCAAGTCAGAAAGGGCTTGTAAATGGCTGGTTGATTTGCTCCATGAATAAGGCCAGACTTGGAGTACCTTGGAGTCTCTGCTTTCTCCAATCCATGCAGGCAGAGGGAACTTGGAAAGAATTTATGCTCAGAAAGACAAAATCGTCGGGGAAACTGGATGTGACTTAGCACGAAAGAGAGTTCCCAGAATGGAACTGACATTTATGCATCTTTAATGAGTAGGCACCTTCTGCCAGCCCTCTGCTAGCTTTCTCAGAATGACCCAGCCCCTTGTCTGTACTTACTTGGCCATTTGATGGCAAGTATTATTGCATAAGTCAATCTCAATTCCTGCAAAAGAAAACACAAATGTGACTTGACATTTTCAATTTAGCACTTGCTGTGGTCATTTCTGCCATCTAGAGTAAAGGACCCTGCAAACAGCCTCACTGCCACACTTGTGGTGCCCTGACTGATGATGGGTCACACTAGCAGTTATGCTAACTCTCCTGTCCTACATGGCAGCAGGAAAACCTCATGGGATTTATGTTTTGGCACTTTGCAATGGAGTGAATTTGATGTTCTCTGTCTGAGCCAACGGTTCAATTTGATCTTATCTGCATGGCCTGCTAGGAATGAAACAAGGACTGAAACCTCGACAATCCAGATATACAGGACCATTTGGTTTTGCCTCTTTCGAAGCAAAAAGATGAACTTTCTTCATGCTTTACATTTAAACTAGATAGGACAGCTCCACTCAATTTCCATTTCTAAATGCCCCCCAAACATTTGACTTCACTATGAAATCAATCTTTGTGTGCAAACCTTGAAAATCCCAAAGTATTTAGGAGCTCAGGTTGCTCCCCCCTCCCCCCACAATGGTACTCATAATCCCAAATCCCAGGAACAACCGTCTTCAACATACTACTTTGACACACAGTGACAGATTTATTGAGAACTGCAGACTATGGCCTGAGCTCACCTGAATCAATGGATCTGTGAGCAGAAAAAGCAACTCAACAGACACACTGGGGCCCTTTGGAGGCTTCAAATCAAGTCCTGCCACTTCTTAGGCAAGTAACAGGAATCATGGTCAACCCAATCTGGCTGGGAGCTTCCATTTCTCTCTCCCAGGGCAAGGGGCTGTTCTTGTGGTGCCTCTAATCTCAGTGGAGATGGAAGCAGGGGATATGCTTTTCTCTATGTGAATGTCACCCAAATAACTCAAGGGCTCATGTGCTGTTGGGGAAGTCACACTGCAAATGCAGCTTGTGTGCAGGAATGAGCTAGCACAGTCTGATAAACTTTCAGGGGGATGCAAAGTACACGGGACTGTGGTCACCTTGCCCAGCTAACACAGAATTGCTCTGGTAAGTAAAGAGGATCATGCAGCTTTCTCTGCCAAAAAGGCTGTATCACACCATAGGCCCATCATATCCACATACTTTCTCGGCAGGTAGGGCCCTTCCACCCTGGGAAACACTCGCAGCTCCCGTCCCCTTGCAGTCCATCATTACATATGCCATTGTCGCAGGCACATTCTGCAGGGGAAATATAAACACTTGTCATTGTCAAACCAACCAGGTCTTACAAGCAGAGTCTTGCCTACATTTTGCTGGCTGCTCTGTTCCTAATCCAACGCATCAAACTGCCGTAAAAAAAGTGTCACAGCAGTATCAGCTCTTGTCCCCTCACTACCAGGCCAAAAAGCCCAGGAACAGACCACCCGTCTGCTTTCTGTAGTTTGGGTGGCAGCAGGATGAGCGGCATAGCACAGACAGTCATGCGTTGGTTTGAGGATGAAAAATAGGGCCACTCCTCTGGCTGACCACGAGCACTCACTCCCACTGTCCCTCTCTCGGTGGCCTGCCAGCCTGTCTCAGAGGTCTTGGGACATTTCTTCCCTCCCACCACCCCTCCTGAGAGCTAAGACATGGCCACTTTTCTCCCCCTGTAATGCACAGGTAGAGACAAGCTGCAATAACCATCAGTGTCACCTGATTTGCAGTCAGCTCCGTATCGGCCCACTTCACACATTTCACAGGCAGTGCCGTGGAAACCCTCCAGGCATCGGCACTCTCCACTGCCCTCGATGCCGTCCTGGCATTCCCCGTTCCCTGAGCACCACTGGCCTGGATTCCCTGGGCACATCTCGCACATGTGTCCATAGTAGCCAGGGCAGCAGACAGACCTCTGAAGAACCAACAAGAACAAGTTGGGGTGAGCCACCTTGTGCAGCACAGACAAGGTACGGGTTTATTGTGGAAGCTACTCTATTCCTTTAACTATGTGATAGCCATAATTTCTGACAATACATGAAAGGGTCAGATGTGCACAGGTAGGAGGGAGTGAACCCCCTAAAATGGGGTGCTCTGTTGCCCAGAGCTTCATGTAAAGGTCTGCACTGCCCTTGAGCAACACTGGCCATTTAGCCAGTAACGCAAATGTTGAGTCCTGTGCCTATCCAGCCTATTTCCTGCCTACGTCCCTAGTGTGTCCCACCACTGTTGGGCAGAGAGAGGGTCTGTCAGACAGTAATTTGGTTCAGAAGCCTGATTTAACTGCTCTCACTTCTTTCTGCATCTACCCACAGAGGGAGAAAACTGTGATGGGATCAAGGTGGACAGCACAGATGAAGAGAAACATCGTTTAACAAAGGGATGCAGAAGTGCCTAGTTAGGTACAAGTGCTGACCAAAGCTCTGCATGTGAGAACTCTATGTCCAACTCCCTCTCTCCCTTCTCCTCAATCTCCCATTTCCACTGAACTTTCCAAGTAGATGCTTCAATACCTCTAAGAGGTCAAATTCACACAAGTTTTTCTTTTACCATTTCCTCTTCAAGTGTTTTCTCCCAGCCACACATTTTCACAAAACTGGTAGGGGCCATAATAGCTGTGAGACCTTCTGTTCCTCCCTTTGGTTCAGCTCCAAATAGTCATCAGTTATTTGGGAAGGCACATGCACAAGCAAATCATTCATGACTCATTTCCTTAGGAAATCAGACTACAAACATTCAACTGCTTCTCTTCCTCTGCAGGACAAAACCCAAAGCAACAATACCAGAGCAGCAGACCACAATCCATCACTGTGCAGACATTTCTGCAGGTTTGTTTTTTTCTCTAGTGTGCTCTATCTCCAGGATGGAGAGCGACTCCCAGATGAGCTCAGTCTCAGCTGTGCAATGGCACAAATGCAGCCAGGACTTCAGCACAGGCTACAGGCTGTATTTCCATATTTCCATATTTCCAATACCCATCTTGCTTTTGTCAAAATGAATCTGAGGCAAATGTTTTTCTTACCAGAGAAACTTTTGCACATGTGAAATGGCAGCCAAGTATTCCTGTATCCCCAGAGCGTAATTCACAGCGAGCGAGATTCTTGCTTCCTGGCAATTCCTGTAGATATAATTAATGTAGATACAGAGAGAAGATATTACAATACTTAGACAAACATTGTACATTTTGGTGCATATGGCAGCATTCTTGCCTAACAGAAGAATAATGCTTTTTATCCTACAGGAACAGCCCTAAAAATTTGGACTATCCACAGTTGAGACCAATGAGGCATCTCTAGATGTGCGGTCACCACACAGAGTCTATTTTGTTACCTGCCAAATTCATGGTATACATGCCAGTATGAATACCAAGAAAAAGTAATTGGAAAATTTTTGGCATAGAGTAAAGTAATGAATCCTAAGAAGCCAGATGTGGCTGCTAGGCAATTCATAACCAGAACGGAGATGAAATGTTTACTTGTTTTCCTCTCTGGAAACATTTGTCACTCACTCACAAACAAGCTGCAGGCACAACCAGCCCATCTGTGTGAACAAATCAATGGCCCAGGCTGGGAAATCGATATTGGCACCCCTAAACTGGTTTTCCTTGGTGATAATGTCAAAAGAGTAAAAGGTGAAAAAAAGACATCTCTTCGTCCCTGCTAAGGGGGGAAACTCTGCACACTGCATGCTCTAAAGGGCTCCTGAAATTCAGGCAAAGCCTGGTGTCAGCTCTGCAAGGAGCCTCATGGTTTATGTTTGTGTTTTTCCTGCGTAAGCCTCCCTTGGTTTCTGCTTTCTCCTACAAACCTTGCTAATGAATGAGCCACAGAGGACTCAAGAGCACATTTTTTAAGGTATTGAGATGACATCTATGGAGCAATAAAAGGACATCAAAACACTGTCTGCAAACAGTCTGTGAGATGTCACATGAACCAAAGACTCACCACAAGAACTGATCCAGCAGGACACTTGATCCCCTTCTCACACTTGCTGCATCTTGACTAGGGCACAGAGAACAGGACAAGTCACATGTGTGCCCTCTACCCACATCACACCAAGACACTAATCTTGAATTACAAATGGTACTGTACAGGCTGCTGGTTGGGAGAAAGACAAAGATGTATTTATCTCTGTGGCTCAAAACACCACAGGAAGAAAAATAATGATGCATGACCCTCAGGTCCTGGTTGCTATCAAAGGCTTCACACAAGGTCTTATTCCTGCACTCCAGAGACTGTTCCACAAAACAAACCAGAAGAGATCACATGCTACATCTTTCCTGAGCCTCTGAGCTGGGGTAGGACCGTCTGTAGGCCTGGAGTTCCTTCCCACAAGGCTGCAAATACATTTTTTCTGATCTGTAACAAGGCAGGCACACCTCAATCTGACCCTGCAATCTTCAGATGGCCAAGAGCCACAAGATACACGTGGGCTGGACTTTGTCCACGACTCCCAGGCAGACCACAGCATTTCCTGGGTGAGCTTCTGGTCATATCATGCAAGAATTGGGCTGGATTCGCCTTCCACAGCTGAGTGTCTGGGAGTCCATGCACCACGGCTGGCACTGTGAGAGAGCCCATCAAGTGAACTGAATGTGAGCTGCACAAGAGCTGCAGCAGATCTGCTGCATTAGAAGTACGGAGTCTGAGGCTAGGAGGTGCTAAGTCTCCATGAGGCTCATCTGGGGTCAGACCACAAGCTACTGTCTCATCCACGTAGAAGAGACAAGGTAGGTTGTCT